GTGTGTGTGTGTGTTTGAATGTGTGTGTGTGTGTTCGAATGTGTGTGTGTGTGTTTGAATGTGTGTGTGTGAGATGGGTGTGTGATGGGTGTGTAAACACGGCCACCCCGTAAAGTACGGGAAACAAAGGCCTATAAGTCTGTCATACCGCAGTTAGTTAGCAGCAGTTTAACATGGGTGGTGTATTTCAGCCATCAACTCGACATGGAGGATGTGTGAGGGAATTTCATGTAAGTGTTAGGGGGAAGCAGGGCAGTAGTTAGAGTAAGTAGTTAATAAATTAGAGTTAGGAATGGTTGTCCGGGGACAGCCATGCCATAGGGGGATGCATGCCCTAAAGCGCGCTTTTCACCGCTTAGCACCCATAGCGGCTCATCAGAGGGTTAACCTCTGGCTCCCTATTAGTAGTTGGCGGGTTATATTAGCAGGTACAACAGAATTAGACACAACTTTTAGGAGCATACCTGAAGGTGGAAGTTTGTGGAGAGGACGTGCCGTTAGCTGCCACCATCGCTTGCAAACTCCGCCTGTAACAACTCACACTCGTGCGTTAGGAACCAGGTAGTGCCAGGTTAGGAAGAGGAAGTGTCTTGTTGTACGGACGAGCTTGCGGAGCTACTCGTCTTTCCGAGAGGGGGGGAACGTGTGCAGGTAGTATTTGTAAAGGGAATGTGATGTGTGGTATGGTGCGAGAGCTATGGTCATGCCCGCGCGATATGCAGCAGATGTGTTCGTCAGCATAGTAGGCAACGCTAGGCTGGCGTGTGTGTGCCATTGTGAATGGAAGCTTGCAATTCGTGTAGGGCTTTAGGGGGTGCGTGGGTACGATTCGGGAAGGGTTCTTTCTTTGGTATAGTTTTTAGCAAGGGTGAGGGTGGGTGTGTATCTGCCGATGACTGGTGATTGTAGCGCTTGCGGGCGTGCAGTGTTTGTCTGCTATGCGTCTTTGTGCGGACTATGCCATGTATCGACAGGTTTCCTAGAGTCTTCTAACTTGCTTTTGTTTTACGTGTTGTTTGTATGGGCTATGGCTCGGAGGTTCTGAGTTTGTCCGTATCGCCGAGGTCAGGATGTTTGTCATCTGCCCGAGGAGGTGTAACTCGGGGAATGTTTGTCGTGTGGGATGGAGGTGAAGTTATGGAGGGGGATGTGTCTTTTCAGTTTTGTCCGTTTGTTCAGTTCCAGATCTCGGGCGGCCAGTTCTTCGTAAAACACGTGTTGTCGTATCGTTTTTGTCGTATCATTATTGAAACGGTGCGTCTTTTTGTTTTAGTGTGTGATTCGCCAGCAGCTTAGAGTTGTATTTCTACTGGTCCCTATGCTTGTGTGGTGTGGGGGTCTGTTTCGATTTTGAGCCAGGTATGCATGAGACCCATAACCGTTTCTTGCTTATCTGTGTTATTTGTTTATATATTGTGTTTAGTATGTTCTGTAGTTAGATATATTGGTTTATATTAGTCTTGCCGTGGTGAGCGGGGGGTTGTCACAGTTGAGTTATTTACGTGCGAGTTTACTAGTGGGTATGTCTGTATATTTTGTGCATTCCTTTAAAAAAAAAAAAAAAAAAAAAAAAAAAAATTGTATATTACTAATAACCTGGGTTAAGTCGACGTCCGGCCCAGGCGGACCGAGCCAGACAGACCGGGCCAGTCCGCTGAGGGGACTGACTATTGACAGTACAAGACGAAGAAGAAGAAGAAGAAGAAGAAGAAGAAGAAGAAGAAGAAGAAGAAAAAAAAAAAAAAAAGGAAAAGAGAGATAAGGAGGAGGAGGAGGAAGCGGACCTGTCGATTTTGAGTTGCGTTA